GAAATTGCGATAATGAAAATAATAGCCAATAATCGTATTGAGCGTGCTAAGGTAATAGGTGCTAATGAGCCCATTATCTCACCTGTGCGCACAAGCCAATTCTCATTTATACCGAAAACTGCGCATAAGGTACTGCAGGCGATTGATGTGCGCGCGGAGGATATGACTAATTTAAATATGAACTTTGCCGAGAATCACCAATTTCAGAATTATGGCATCGGTGGACATTATGCGCAACACTATGACTGGTTTACAAAGAATTTTGTAAGAAAAAAAAATAATAATTGTAGTACATACATATGCCTCTAGAATGGAATTTTGGTATAGCGTTTAAATTTTTCTTACAGACTAACAAAACGATCTCAAATATAGAAATGGGAAATCGAATCGCAACAGTTCTATTTTATGTGAGAAAATGCCAACTTCTATAACCTCCATTGTAAAATACTTTAACTGCAACTGCTTTTAATTTTAAGTTAACAGATGTTGAGCAAGGTGGTGGTACTGCCTTCCCTTACCTCAAGCGTCTGTTGAAGCCAAAGAAGGGCGCCGCTGCATTCTGGTACAATCTGCATGCGAATGGTGAGCGCGATTATCGCACTCTACATGGCGGTTGTCCGATAATAGTGGGCTCCAAGTGGGGTATGTTGAATATAATTTAAAACAAATTCCCCATAAACATATTTGTTTGTATTGCAGTACTCAATCGTTGGATTCGAGAACATGATCAGAGTGATCGTAGGCCTTGCGATTTGTGATGAGATAAATTTGCTATGAGGAGGTGCTAGTCTTATAAACTAATTACTTAATTGTTAGGTGTAATAAATTATAAAAAAATGAATGTAATATTATTATTATAATACTTATTTGCTCATTAATGTTTTAGCTATTTAAAGTGTTTAACTTATAGTTTAATTACTTACGTTCGTGGTTGGGGTCGGTAGAAACGACTGTTCTCAATAGTGTTGCCAGAAATAAATATCCATTTAGGGCTAGAATCTCCAGAAAAAAGGGCTAGAAAGGGCTAAATAAAAAATTTTAGAGCTAAGAAAGGGGCTAGTTTCATTATTCATCGATTGAACAATTTTTATTTTGTTTTAGAATGAATTAACAAAATTTTATTTGTTTAAATTCATAGGCATATACAGTTTTAATTCGAAACAAACATTCTGAGCCCAAAACTCGAAAAAATAATACCACATAAAAAATAGATCCATTACGAATTCATTAATTAAACTAGTTTACACGGAAAAGGACTTCGGTGGAAAGCGCTTTTTTGCACTAATTTAGGGTCGCTTAACATGAAAATAAGTCTCATTTATTTCCGCAAAGAAGCGAGACTTGTTTTCTAGGTCTTTTTCAGGTATATACAACATTCTTATTTGGATACCCTTCGAAAGACATATTTAGCCCCATAGCGTGACAAATTTTTTGTGTCAATCGGAATATTACTTTTTGAGTTTTCCGAAATATAAGAAATTATATTAAGAAGTTGAAAACCATTCGTAACCGCACCTTACAACGGAAGGCACCTAAATAGTAATTTTTCTACTATTTCTAGTTTCATGTTTTTCTGAAATTAAAAAATAAATACCATTAGAAAATGAGTGACGTTACAATGCTGTCAGTGTTTGGATGAATTTTAAAAATCATGTACATATCGCTCATTTACTGCAATAGTGTCATAACCCAAAAAACCCAACCCGAAAAACCAGCTTTAAAGTTTTGAATTTACGCATTGACGGCTGAGTAGAAGATCGACCTATCTCGGCAGCCAGTTCGAAAACGCGCTATCTTAGAAAAATTTTCAAGAACGTTTTATTTAAGAATTGGGTTGAAAAACGCCCTACAGGTACAAACCATACTTACCTAAGAATACTTCCATTTACACAAATAAAAAGTCTTGACATTTTATTTAGTGGTTTTCATTTTATTTCTGTGAGTGGTTTCTAAATGACCTTCAGCAATGAAATGTAGTTTATTTTATTTTTATTTATTTATGTAGACGTTAATATCTATGGTTCATTACCAACAAAATTGCCATTTTTTTTTCTTTTAACTCTGGTGTAAACTTCTGCAAAGATCGACTAA